TGACCTGCCAACAGTCTCTTCCAGTTTAACATACACAGCTGAAATATTTACTTATCTTGCTTCAGGCTTAATGTAAGCATGATTTGCCTCAGGTCCCCATGGTGTAACCATGGTGACCTGAAAACTGTTAATTTGCATATTTCAACACTAACTGATGACAGGTGGGTAGTGTGGATAGGCTAACAGTTAGGAGGGTAGTGAGGACATGAAGGAGCTAATGAACATTATGAGATGGTAAGTTACTACCCAAGCACTTGTGTAAATGTTTGCAAAAGTCATATGAGTTTCTGAGTACTTATTTACTTAATCAAAGGTTAAACTTTTAAGAAGTGGGAAAAGGGCAGATATGACATAAAAGAATTCTGAAAAAATCTTAAAAGAATTGCTATTATAAAATTAACTGAAGGGGAGAAAATAGATTATTAGTGTGAAACTAAGGAGGATACAATAAGGAAGACAAAGAGCATTAAAACATACCTAAAGAGAGAGAGAGAGAAGGACCATTTGTGAAAAATCAGCAAGGTATACTCTCAAAGAGGATAACATAGGAAATATAAGTTAAAATTGTGAGAACTATAATTTATAGCATTAAGAGCAAAAGTTAAGCATATCAAATAAATTACCACAATGGAAAAGCTTTATTTGACATGGTCAGAGTTACCTGTTCTGATAATTGCTTATAAGCATTAAATAGGAAACAGGAAATAAGAAAAGAAAAAACAGCAGACAAAAATAAAAACACAAACAAAAATTAGAGAACATATGTAAGCATACAACTCAGCCATGACATTCTTATTACTGAAACCAGCTTGATCAGCAAGTGGCTTCATATTGGCAATATTTTCATACTTAATAAACTTTCTATTCCATTGGATACAAGTATGGACTATGAATCCAAGGGGAGACATTTTCCTACATATTTAGTCTTTTTTATATTAATCACTAACTTATCATAGGGACAGACTTTTGGTAAATTATCTCCTTGTTTTTAAACATGTTTGAGACATATATATGTTATATATTAAATATTTTACATTTAATTTTAACGAGAAATACAGACAGCATAGAACTCTTCTAGGATTTTTTTTTTTAAGATAGTAGATAATGTGGATGAGAATGATCCGGTACTGAAGGTAAAATTAATTATTAAGGAGAGAGAAAGAACACAGGCAAGAATAAAAGTCTTGAAAAAGCCTGAGGAGATAGGGTCTGCTGTATCAGTAGTGAGGTTATCCCACTAGAAGCAGGACCTATTGGTTTTTTGTAGCAGAGGAAACCAGGGTTATATGAATGGAGATGCAGTTAGATTGGTAGATATGGTATTGGGAGTGCATACTTTCTTAAAGAAGTGATGGGAAAGGACATAGGCTGAGATTCATGAGCGAAGAAGGAGTGTTTGAGGTGTGAGGAAAAAGATGTCAGCGAGTCCCTCAGAGACACTATTGGGTATTCCATGTGAAGAAAATGGTTTTGGATTTTAAGAGATTGGTTTTCCTCCATAAGTAAAGATAATATAGTAGACAGAAAATTGAACTTCACCAGTGTAGGATTTTTTCAAGGGAGTAAACAAAGAAATAGAAAAAAAGGGAATTGAGGTCATATGCAAGGAGTGATTATAATGAAAGACCCATGGAAATTAAGTCAGGTGTGGGCTTGATGAATACAAAGGTAATAAGATTCCAGGTGGAATCAAAAAGTTGTTAGAGACAGGGTGCAAGTATGAATGGGCTGAAAGAAAGAAGGTGAGGGCTGGAGAATCTGTAGACTAGAAATTCTCATTTTCAGGAAAAAGAAGTTACTTGTACTAGAAAATTATAGGGAGTAGATGAGATGGAGTTGGAGAACAGTCATTGGATATGAACAAGGCAAAGAACTGAGAGACCCATGTGTTATATGAAACATTTGTATGAAAACTGAATCCTTAAAAAATGATGTCAGAATTAGGGAAAGAAAAAAAGAGGATATGAAGAGAATGAACAGGTTCCTGAATTTTTCGAGGGATAGTTGACTACATCACAAAGATAAGTATATAGTGGTAGATTTTTGATGCTATATGTATTTAATATTAACATCTTAATAAGTATGCAAGTGAACATTTTATTAATATACATTAATATTTGCCAGAATGAGTTTATATCAGGTATTACTAGTTTATGAGAAAGGAAAGAAGACACACCAAAAATATTTTATGTACTTACAAATGACACGAGATAGCAAATTTTTATGATCATGAATATCTCTACTCTTTCAGAAGTAATACGAAATTGCTAAGTTTTCATACAGTTGGTGACTATTCATACCTTGTGACTTGGGAACTATGAAAAGATTAAATGAGAATACTGAGGAAGTAGTTAAAACAGGACTTGACACATAGTAAGTACTCAATAAAAACTCATAATGGAAAAACAAAAAAGACTTGGTATGACAGCCTGCTTTGCTGCTCCATGTACTGTATTAAACCAGAAAAAAAAAAAAATCCTAAATCAAGGATCCCTTTGCACATACTGGTATTTCCTGGTGTGTAGGCCAGTTTGTTTTTCTAATAATATTTCTAAAGAATCCTGTATTAAGTTTATATTTATGAACTCTGCTTCTGAATTTTGTAAGTACTAGGGAAAAATTGAATGACTGGTATTAGGACAACTGGCTAGCAATAATTTTATGATTTTGGAGCATATATTAAGAAACTAAACCCAGAATCAATAATTCTGTGTTCTTATAAAATAATATGAAATACATAATCCCTAATTCTTAACAGAACAAAAGACATGGATACAAAATGGGATTAAAAATACAAAAGGCTAACCTATAAGAAAATTTTTATGGAAGGAGTTAAAGAGAAATTTATAAAATACAAAATGCTCTCTCAGGGCTAGTGGAGTGGCTCAAGTGGTAGAGTGCCTGCTTGGCAAGCATAAGGCCCTGAGTTCAAACCACAGTGCTGCCAAAAAAAAAAAAATGCTCTCTTAACCATTAGTGGGAATGAAAATTAGAACAATGTTGAATTTATGCTTGGCAGTTGACAATTTTTACCAAAATCTTAATTGTGTATAATCTTTGACCTAGAAATTTATTCTAAGGAGGTAAGGGGACAAACACCCAGAACGTAAGTGCATCTTAGAATTAGTAAACATTTAGAAGTATTAGATAGAAGTCATGAAAAACAAAGGTCAAGAATGAAAAACACGTCATGCTAAGGGGAAGGCACTAATGGGAGGGGGAGGGTAAAAAAAGGAAGTAAAGAAGGTGAAAGTAACGAAGGTGAATATGGTTGATGTACTTTCCCTGTAAGAATGAATATAGGTATTTAAACCTGTTGGAATCACCATAAAGGGGCGGGGGTGGTCTAAGATAGAAAGGAGAAACATGGAGGGGATGAATCAATTTGGGATATAATACATGCATATATATATATTCATATATATATTTTATATATGAAATGTCATAATGAAAGTCCCCATGCAGCTATCTTAAACAAACCCAAATACCTTTTTTTAAAAGGCAAAGGCTAGGAGGGTAAAATGGGTCCTGTCTGGGAATTGACACCAGAGGGAGGGGGAGAATGTCGGAAGGGTGAAGGAGGTGAATGTGGTGGAAATATGTGCTCATGTATGAAAATGGAAAATGAGACTGTCGAAACTCTTATAAGAAGGAGTGGAGAATAAAAGAGAATGATGGAGGGGTGAATTTGACTGAGGTATATTACAACCATTTTTGTAAATATCACAATATACCCCCAGTACAACAATAACATGATAATAAAAATTTTAAAAAGAAGTCATGAAAAGATGCATAAAATAGATTGCTGAATGAAATAAGGGTGTTACAATATATCATGTGTAGTTTTGATCACATTTGTGTAAAAAGATATGTGTGCAAAAAGACGTGTGTATGTTTATGTAAGTATCCAAAAACCTAAAAGGATGTTCCAACTATGTTAACAGTGCTTTTCTTTTGAGGAGAGGCATATATGCCCATTTTTGCTTTCTATTTTATATTTGTCTACATTGTTTGAGTTGTATAGAGGATCTCTTACAATGCTGATGTAGATTACTGCTCCTAGAGTCTTTGCTCTGCCTAGAACTTCTATTACCTCCTTTTGTTCTCTGCTCAGGTGGCCCCATTCATTAGAAAGGTCTTTATTTACTACTCTATTTAAAGTTGAAACACCACCAAGTTTCATGCCTTTTTCTGCTTTAGTTTTTCTCAACTGTAGTTAACACCATCTAATGTATTTTCATGTTATCCCTTTATTTTTTTGTTTATTGACTGTCTCTTCCTTTCCTGTACTAAAAAGTAAACCCCATAGGGGCAGGACTTTTTTTTTTAGTGGCAATCTGTATTGTAATGAATGAAAGAATGGCTGAAATAATTCTCTCTCTCTCTCTCTCTCTCTCTCTCTCTCTGTGTGTGTGTGTGTGCACCTTCATTCCTACAAGAAATTCCCTGAAAAAGTCTGATTAAAGGGAAGAATGGTTAACTTAAAAACGCTTCAGGTTTTGTTTGAGGCCATCCTTACCAGACAGAAAAATTTGTCCTAACATTCAGGTCAATTTTGATGTCAAATTTTATTTAGCTAAATAATCATAAGCTTAATTAGCTCTCGAGATTGAGAGAAAACTTAACGTTCTTTTCACTTTTGAATCTGTGATTAACATTGAATTAAACTGGGTACCTTGTTCCTAGCCAGTGAAAACCTGTTGCTCAAATTTTGCTACACATTTTGTGGAAATATGAGAACACACAAAAACTGTGAATTTTCTCCCAGATATTTTAGAATAGTTTCTTTTGCTAAATGGAGGGATAGTGGTATACCTCTTCTTGATCCCACAAATATGAGTTTGATGATGTCTTGTATGAACTTGAGACTGGAAGCTATGATAAAGACATACCACCCACTGATATACTTTGCAGCTTTGATTTTATGGTGCTGTCAATCCCATTTAGGACATGGAAGAAAAAAAAAAGAAAAAGAAAAACAACCTCAAATTTGCATCTACCTGTTTGTTTCTGAGGGGTTGAACCACTTCCCTAACGCACAGCTCCAAATCGTTGACATAATCCCTTTCTGTCTGTATCAGCTCCTTGATGATTTTTGCTCGCTTTGCCATCATCCTCTTCATCTGATACTCTTCCTCCGGGGTTGGGGTCTCAGCTGCAGAACACTCAGCCTGTGGAGTCATCTTTTCTGTTAAATGAAAACATTTGTATGAAATGAAAACCTCTACTAAGTTTTCTTTTTCCTTCAATACAAACGATGCAGATTTTATCCGCAAGGAAAAAGCTTTAGGGACCCTCTTGGTGTATTCCATGGAAGTGTTATGTGAATTCCCCTAAAGGTCAGAACCTTACAGAACTATGAACAAGAGAATGAACTATTCTAACAAGTCATTAAATGATGCTCAACAGTGACAGCTTCTTTAAAACATCCCATTGCTAGAAATCTTAGGCTATAAAGCTGATTTTCAGGTCGGAAATAGAATGTATAAAAATCCAGCTAGATAACTTCTAGGCATGTTTACTTTTGAATTAATTACTAACTGAAATGCTTTTCAATTTTGTTTGTTTCTATTATTAAAAACAATTATCCATTATTCTCAGTGGGTAATGCTCAAATGATTGCATGTGATTGGGGGTTTCTTTTAATTTACAATCAGAACCCATGAAGTGTGAGGCAGTGCCAGATTAAACAAATTTCAACTGTGATTTTCATGGCTTATCTTCAATACTATGCATATCTTATTATTTCAAATTACTGAACTACAAACCTCACAGTTTTAGTTCACAAATTACAGTACTGAGATGTTGAAATAAGTGTTATGTCTCACATGTAGCTTCAGCTTTATATGAAGTATTCAGGTAAGAAAGCTAAATATCTTCAAGGACAAGCTTCCTACAGCAATGTATAATTTTAGAATCTATGAAACAACAGATCATGAATTCAGAATATAGACCAAGAAGTCAGAGCAGACATAGAGACATCAGAGCAGCGTGTGCGTGTGTGTGTGTAAATGGATTTGCTTCAAACTTAAAGCTTAATTTTAGTCTCTGCAGTTTCAGAAGAAAATTTTATCCATTTAAGGTTAATATGAATCTTGTAACTTATGTATGAGACATCTTTAATTTTTGTAACCACTTTCTGAGAACACAGAACTCTATGAAGAGTCTATAAAGAATTTACATAGGAAAAAAAGCGTAGGTCACAGTGTATAAGTGTAAGTAAAGAAAGGCATTCTTTTGGCTGACTCCAGAAACAAAGCTAAAAGAACTGGAGAAATGTTTAGGAGAGGAGTTAATGGTTTAATGTAAAGAGGTTGCCCCAAGAATGTAAGCAGACACTTCAAAAAGTAATGAAGCTTCCTCTCTCCCTGCTCCACTAACTTCAGGAGTTCAAGCAAAATCTTAGTGATTAAACATCTGTGGAGAATTCAGTAAAGGTAATTCCAACATTGAGTTGTATTAGGTTGAGCTTTGGACGACACAGATTTTGCCTGGTATCAATATTTCCTTCATTAGGAAAGAGGGTAGTTTTGACCAATGGTGTTTAAAAGCACATGGTTTTACAGTGCTTGGGTTATTTAGAGCCAAAGAAATAATCCACATGAGCTATAACAGAAGACAGAATCCATGCATGGACAGAGGACGGATGCTTGGAGCATTCTGCAGCCTTCATATTGTGATCTGTGTCATGGGAATTTTGGTGTGCTTGCTAGTCTGTACTACTTTTATTGGAAAGTAGAAGAAGCCTGTCTCTCAGTGCCCCAAATTTAAAAAGACAAGTTACAATCAGGTGTCATTACTATGTGTTATTTTGGATATGGAAAAGAAGAAAGTTATGGTCTAAGGGGAGATGTAATGAGCTATCTGTGTTCATAACCATTGTGAGATTTTGAAAAAATTAAATTATATATATTCAGGGTATATGTAATGTTTTACATATACATCGTAGTGAAATGACTGGGTGGGGGGTGGGAGACTGAAGACAGAGGGGGAGTGACAGGGGCTTCTTTTCTCCTGGAATATACGTACAGTGCACAGAAAGAAATTTCACTAGCAAAACTGACATGACAAGCCAGTACAAGGTATTTAACATTACCTTGAAAATAAATGGGACACCATTGAAAAACTGTTATTACCAATGCTTTTCCAAGTTCTAAACCTTTTATATCTTTTTAAAAAAAGGTTTACATGGATCTTCTTAATTTTTGTCAAATAAATATCCCTAAAACACATTCTCAGATACCTTTGCTTCTAAATTCCAGACCTCAATTACTATGCCAAGTTTTATTTTTGGTGGCACTGGGGTTTGAACTCGGGGCCTGACATCTGCTAGGCAAGCTCTCTACCATGGGAGTCACTCTGCCAGCACTACTGTCATTTTAACTTATTTCACAGCTCTTCCACTTGCTGTACTTTTAATGTACCACATTTTAATTTTATTAGCATATATTAATTATACAAAGGATTTTGTGAAATTTCCATAATGTACGTAATGTACTTTGATCATATTAAACCCCTGTATTACTTTCTTATTTCCTATGACCCTCTTTTTTATTTTGCGATTTTAATGGATTCATTATTCTAATTTTATGCATGTATATGAGGTACTATCATATTTACCTCTCTGTTGCCCTCTTCTTTTGCCCTCCCCCTTGTATTTCTTCCTCCTTAACAGTGCTCCTTTTATATTCATGCCTTATTTTTAGGTTTAGATTCCATACTTGAGAGAAAACATGCAACATTTGCCTTTAGTATAATGGTCTCCAGTTCCATCCATTTTCCCACAAATGACACGATTTCATTCTATTTTATGGCTTAATACTCCATTGTCTACATATTGCACATTTTCTTTCTCCAGTCATCGACTCGTGGGCACCTAGGCTGATTCCAGAGCTTGGCTGTTGTAAATAGTGCTACTAGAAACGTAGATGTGCAGGTATCTCTACTGAATGCTGACTTACATTCCTTCAGTATATGCCCAGGAATTTTATGGTTGGATCATATTATAGTTCTCTTTTTAGTTCGTTGAGAAACCTCCATGCTGATTTCCATAGTGGCTGCACTCATTTACATTCCTACAGTGTATAGGGGGTTTCTGCCCCATCCCCTCTACCCCACATCCTTACCCAGCTTTTGTTGTTGTTTGTTTTCTTGATGATTGCCATTCTGGCTGGGGTAAAAGGGAATCTTGGTGTCATTTTTATTTTTTGTTTGCATTTCCTTTATTTGCTAAGGATGCTGAACAGTTGCTCATGTATCTGTGAGCCATTTCTTCTTTTGAGAACTGTCTATTTAATTCATTTTTCCTTTTATTAATAAGATTACTTAAACTTTTGGGGTTTAATTTTTTAACTCATATATTCTGTATATTGATCCTTAATCTGCTGAATAGCTGAAAAAAATTTTGTGCAATTATGTAAGTTTTCCTTGATTCTGGTAATTATTTCATTGCTGTGCAGAAGCTTTTTAGTTTGATGTGACCTAATTGTCAGTTTTTGCTCTTATTTTCTAAACAACTGGAATCTTATTCAGAAATTCTGCCTGTGCCTGTGTCTTGCAGTGTTTTCTCTATTTTTTCCTATAGTAGTTTCAAATGTTACATTAAGCTCTTTGGTCCATTTTGAATTGATTTTTGTACAGAGTGAAGTTTCTTTGTTAATTTTTTCTTGTCTGTATGACCATCTATTGGTGAGAATGGCACCCACTATTATTGTTTTCCAGTCTGTCTGCACTTTTATGTGCAGTAGTGTTTGTTGTGTGAAATTGGATCTACCGATGTGCAGTGCCTGTATGTTGCACCATCCTCATGATTGCTCCCTTTATCAATACGAAGTGACCTTTTATTTGACTACTTTTGCTTTGAAGTCAGCTTTGTCAGATATGACCTGCTTGCTTTCAGGCTTCATTTGCTTGGACTCTGTCCATCCTCTCATTTTAAGCCTGGTTTTGTCTTTGCCAGTGAGTTGTTTTTCTTGTAGGCAACAAATGGTTAAGTCTTTTTTTTTTTTAACTGAACCTGCCAGTTTGTGTGTTTAGATTATAGAATTGAGGCTATTAACATTCAGAATTATTATTGAAAGGTATGTGGTAATTCATGTCATTTCATTGTTTTTGCAGTATTTGGTTCTTTCCTCTTTCTCATTTGATTATCAACTCATCTGATGAGATTTATTCTTTATTTTCATGGCTACGTTTATTTTCCTTTTCTGTATGTCAGATTTCTTTAAGTATCTGAATGGTCATGAATTCTTATAGTTTTTGTTTATCATAAAACACTGTTTATCCTTCAATTATTAAGGTACTTTGCTGGAGAGAATAATATAGATTGCCAATTATTTTTCATCAGGACTTGAAATATATCACTCTATGACCTCCTTGCTTTCAGTTTCTGTAGAGAATTTGCTGTTATTCTAATGGATTTGCTTTTATATGTGACTTGGCACTTCTCTCTTGCAGATTTAGTATTCTTTCCTTCTGTAAAATTAATGTTTTAACTTAATATGACATGGGGGGGTGTTCTTTTCTGGTCTTCTTTATTTGGTGTTCTACAAGTCTCCTGTATATGAATGAACATCCCTTTCGCATAACTTGTTTGCTGTCATTTTATTGAATACATTTCCTATGCCTTTAGTTTGTAACTTTTCTTCTTTTTCTATGCCCATGACTCATAGACTTATTTCTTTCATGCAGAACAGATATATATATTTAAGTAAACTATAAAAACATTTGCTTTTCTTTGACTAATGAATAACAGAAGTATTTATAATTTCTTTTTAAATGTGCTACATTATGAATTTTTAGGGTTTTTTTAATTTAAAATTTTATCAGTGTAACTTAATTGTACAAAGGGGTTCATTATGATAACTACATAATGCATATAATGTACTTCAATCAAGTTTATATTATTCTTTCTTAATCCCCCCTCTCTCCTCTTCACATCTTTTAACAGTTTTTAGTGGGCTTCATTATTCTATTTTCATATGCATATAAAATGAATGTACTTTTGAAGTATTCATCCTCTCCTTTCCCCCCCTCCAGTTTCCCTCCCACAAGCAATGCCTCATTCATAAGTTTATTCTTTCACTGGTGTCCCTGAGGTCTTGCAGGTTCTACACATATGTTCTTATTTTTCCTTTATCTTTATATGAATATTCTAATTCATCTACTTTGTCTTGAAGCTATGTTGTT